TGTTTGCACCCCCCCCCCCCCCCCCCCCGTCGATACCACGCCCATTTGGTGCGTGACATCAGCGGGGGGTGTGGCACCCATATCTAGCCATGCCTGCCCCAGTACTTCCGTGGTTTTGTATACATGTTGCCTAGTGACATTGTCAGCTATACAGGAGCTGTACTGCGCAGACTCCGTCTAGTCTCTATGATCTGGGACATTGGATCACCTTACCCTTTCTGTCTTATTGTCTCTGTCACTATATTTATAGGCACAATTATATCTCGGGATGTGGGACACTGGCTACCGATAGATGCCTATATGGCTCCGGCGCATGCATGGTCTCCCCAGAATACTCCGATCCCAGGCATATAGGGGGCTGTATATATTTGGATCACTGATCTTTTAAAAAAATATTTAATGTATGGTGAATAAAGGATATAATTTTTATTCATGCTTATTCATTCTACTTCAGGTTGTTTTCTACATATATAAATGCATTATCAACAATTTATGCATATCAAACTATGGCTCAATGTAGAGTCATATTTACAAACATATCTTATGAAGATATGTCTTATTTCTAACATAGGACACTTATAAGGCTTCAGATACTTTTCCTGAGTTGGGGACGTTTGAGGACGGTGTGCTTTGTAATCTCTCTCTCCCTCTAACCTTTTGGGGTGTTTTGACTGTGTGAAAGCTGCATCATCTGTCTGTAGTTTCTTAGATACTTTCATATTATCACACAGATGTGAAAAACTGTGGCTTATGTTGTCTACCAGTATTGTTTTAGTGTATCATAAGATGAGCTGAATTAGTAACTTAATTTAATAAAAGTTCTTATCCATTGAGGGACTTGGCTTTATTAATAAACAACCTAGGATTATACTGCTGCCTACAGTAGAAATGGAAACTGAAAGCCAGCCCCCTAGAGGTTATAACCCCCACACACCTGCCCTGTTACATGTCCTCAGGAGAATGGATGTCACCTTCCTGTCGTATTTTTAGTTTCAATTGGAAGATTTCTACCGTCAACTATTGGTAGATTCATGCCGGATATAGAAAATTCTGTAAGTCTCTCCAGTTAGCAATTGAACAGTCTGTCCCAGGTTTATTAGTGTTCTCTCTGAGGCAGTCCTTCAGTTGGCAGTGGCTACCCACTGTGGTCTAGTTAACAGTCAAGCCAGGCCAGTATGTCTGGGGTTTGCTTGTGGGGTTATCAAGCCCAAAGCTGCCGCAGTGTTCTGTCCCAGTCTTTGAATCCTCACTGTTGAGTGGCTTTTTGTGACGGTTTCAAATTCTACATTTGTTACTTGCCTTATACTTTTTGTAACTAAAAAGCAGCACAAATGGGGGAGCCCTACTTTTTTTATTCCCCATCTTTGTCTGCATTTTTCAATGACAGTGGCCAGGCACTGTTTATGATTTAACTGCTGTTTTTAACTTTCCCACCTCTTCCGTCTGACACAGCATTGTAGAGGTTCAGGTGTGTGCAGCATCCTTTTTTTTTTTTTTTTCTATTCATTGGAGCTGCGGTAACCCAGTTCCTCAAACACCTCGCCTAGCCTTACAATGTGCTGGATGCCTTGAAGTTGTTTTCCACAGACTGTGGGACAGTTTGCAGCCACAGTACAGGCTACCACCACACTACTGTCTCCAGAATTTCCTTCATTATCTGTTGGCGTTCCTAGGGAGTTGGGGGATCTTCTTTTTATACCTGGTTTTACAGCCAGTGTTTTAGCATGTTTGTCGCTAAACTTACGGGTGGTCACTATACAAATGCTCATGATCCTTCTAATCATAACCCAGGTTATTCTTTGTACAAGGCTAATCTAGGCACAGGAAATAATTGATCCATTTGTGCCTTCTACAGACCCTAATCAGACGTGTGTGTGGTTTTTATTTATTTTTTAACTTTTTGGGCCCTTTTCCTTTTACAGTGGAGGTACTTCCGTTATCCATGACATACTTGGTGTTACTTGACTTGATCTCAAGGACTTTAACGTCCTGCACCATTTTTTCTTTGCTGAATCTGGCACAGAGATGCCTAATTCTGTTTCCAGAACAGGGAACAGGGGTCCTCCAGAAGATTTGTTGGACGGTGAATCCCAGCTGTATTTTAGTCGGTAGTTACACTAAAACCACAGAAAACTGTTTATTTTCTAATAAAGGCTGTGCTTTCTACTTGAGAACCCAAACTCTGAAAATAGCCCTCAGCTGGCCTAATTGTTGGACTAGCTGAGGGGATGCAGCTGCACAGGATGTGTGTTTTGGCTTACTCTCCTGCCACTCTTGATGTTTCCGGAGCTCTTTCCCTTAGTGGAGGTTTATGTCACGATATAGACTACGACTTCTGTAGTCGATCCATCTGTCTTGTTTTCGCAGAGCCTCTCATTCCCACGCTTTAGCTGACTGCTCTAATTTTCTGCTAGTTTGACACTCCACGTATCTAGTATGTTGGACCTGTTTGATGATAAATTGTTATTCATCTGCTGTGTTGTACTGGATGATGGGTTTACCCCAGACATAACAACTGGGCTTTATTTTGTCCAGATGCACAGAGCGATCTGGCTTAAAGGCCAAGTTTACCTTTTTAAAACCATTATTCAAGTGACATGGGGTGTAACTTGAAACATGGTGACATTGCTATTCCCCTTACCTAAATTGCAGTATTCTGCCCGCAGGCTGCTGTTTTAAAAAAAAAATAAAATGTAATGGTGCTCTGTATGGCTCTGCGCACAGCTGCGTCATCCATTCACAGATCCTTTAAAAGGATCGTTGGAGAAAGTACAAGCCCTGCCTCCCTCCATGGCAGTGGGATTTGTGGTTCTCATTAAAAGTACAAGTGTTGTGATGCCACCGCACTTGAAGTCCATTCATTCCTCCTCTTGTCCCTGTAACTTAGTCCGTAAGCCCTATGTGATAGCAATTAAAGTAAAAAAAAAAGTTATTCAATTAAATAAATGTTAAAGTAAAAAAAAATGTTAGTCCCCCAGCGAGCACCCGTGTCTTCACGTAAACACGCATCGGGTGCCCCTACGTATGAAAACGACAATTGCGCTACGCATGTTGGGTATCACCCCGAGAGCAATAATGCTAGGGCCAATATTTACATCCATCTCTAAACTGATGACCGGACGCACACCATTTTTAACCTGGGCATGTTGGTATCTAGTGTTGTAACCATCTTTTATATTTTATTTAAGAAAAAATGGGCATCTTATTGTTTTTTTTGGGGCCATTTAAGTGCATTTTTTGGGGGGGTTTGATGAGTTGCGCTAATATCGTGCAACATAAAAATTTGCAATTGCCGCCATTTTATTCTAATAGGGTCTTGGCTTTCAGAAAATATATAATGTTGGGGGTTTTTATCTCAGCTATGCTAATGTGAAAATCTGAAGTGCAGGTTGACAACTTTCTGTCCTGCATCAAATTGTTCTGTTTGTTACTAAGTCAGTTTCTGGACCCACAAGTAGTCTTGAAATTAAAAGTTAAGTTTCTGTCCTTTATTTTTTTAACTTTACTACTGCCAATGTCTCAGCCATTTGGGTATTGCTGAATAAGGGGTTATTTCCATTTTCCCCAACCGGTACAATTTTTAAGGTTTTTACCCAAACCAGTTTATTGTTCCTTACACCAAAGAGGCATTTGTGCTTTTTTGGTTTAAAGGCTCTCAATGCCTTTTGTATGTCCTCAAAGTTGTGTATAGAATGTCCTGTATAGAATCTATTTGGTCAGTTATTGGCTCCCATCAGCCTAGAGACTTCTTTGAATCCATCAATATAGAGGATGCATATTTATACACTCTCATCTTTCCAGAATACCAGCGATTTCTGCAGTTTTCCGTGGTCCACAACCACAGTCTGAGCTTATTCGCTAATGTCTTTTGCACCAGTTTTGGATCTTTAGCTCAGAAACCATTAATTGCATACATGGGCAATCTGCTGCTTTGAGAACAGACTTTTTCTATGCTGGACTCCAATGTGTCAGTTACGATGTGATCCTTGAAGGACTTTGGAGGGATCCTGACCTTTTTGGGAAGTCCTCTCTGATCCCGTCACATCTCCTAGTTACCTTTTCAAGCTAAGTTTTCTGCCCCAGGAGAAGCTGATGAAATGCAGAACCACAGCAACGTCAGTCCTGACTTATTTTATCTTTCCCAGGGAGCTGCATGCAAGTGCTGGGATAGATAGTATCCACCTGTGTAGTAGGTCCATTTGCCTGAATTCCACTCCAGAAATTTTCAATGTAATCCTCTCGCTGTCTGGGACAAATCTTATATTTCTTAGGAAAGGGCAGAGTTCTGGATCATCTGTCCATGAGTTCAATTACCTTATCAAAGGTTCCAATCCACATCCTAGTTATGTGCGATTAGTTTGTCTTTTTGAGTTCTTGGCTTAGCCACCTCCATTTGATTTTTACAAAAAGACTGTTTTTTTTTTTTTTTTTTTTTTTTTAAA